CTTCTTCAGGTTCTCCGAATTCGCCTCGCCAACCTCCAGGGAAGAGAGGAAGAGGCAGACCGTCAAGAACCACGGTGAGAGGAAGATGAAGAGGAGGGTAAAAGATGTGCAAAGAGGAACATGAGATGGAACGGGGGGACGGGGTGAAGGAGGTGGAAAGAGTCAGAGGACGGGGGGATCGGGGAGGAGGGTTGAGAGAGGAAGGATGACTACAGCGTCTAGCATGGTGCGTCAGTCAACCTTGATATCAGAGTCCAGATGAAATCCGCACTCCAAAGGGCGCACGAACGCGAACGTCTCGCTGATAACAGCGATGCAAGGAAAAGGCGGCGTGGGGCACGAAAGGCCCGCGAGATCCGCAGAGAACGCCCGGACCAGGCCGAAGATCAGCATGTCTCTGTAGTCCGCTGCACGCCACGATCGGGAGATGCCCGCAAACGCCAGAGCGCACACTTCGACGGCCGTTGCAATCCGCGCGGGGGTCTTCGCGCTCGTCCCTCCTGCATCTCCTCCTCCCCTTCTCTTTTCCCGGAGACGCTCGCTGGACGCATCCGCCCTGTGCGGAATCTGGGATCGATGCTTTGGGTTGAGCAGTGGGTCCGTCTCAGTCTTCCTGGCCCCAAAGACAGGCTTGCCTCCGCCCGGCAACCACGGCCGGGCGGTGGATGCCGCCATCCTCGCCGACGACTTCCGCCTCGGCAACGGACGGATGTCCCCATTCCAAATGGTGGCCATCCTACTCCTCCTCACCCTGCTCCTCTTCACCCTCCCTCCCTCCAGCGTTTTTCCCTCTCTCCAACTCTCTTTCCATCCTCCCATGGCATCGTCCCTCCTGGTGTCATCGTCGATGTCCTCCTCCTCCCTCCTGGTGCCATCGCTCAACGATCCCTCAAGCACTTCGATCCTCACTCCGCCCTGTCTATCTCTCTCTCTCTCTGTCTCTTTCCTTTTTTGTTTGCTTCTCTCTCTTTCTCTCTACATCTGATACACTGTAAGCCCTACTCTCCTCTCTCCCTTGACTCTGTGCGGACGGCCCTCTACACGTATCTTTTCAGCACATGTGGTTTGAACAACTGGATGATTATGATGTGTGTGCGCGTGTGTTGGCAATCCGGTTGCCTTCGGCGTTTCAAGATAGAGCTCCCGTTGCAGCGCGGGCCTCATTTTAGGAGTTCGTGCTGCGCCCTCGTCGTTCAGAATGGCGCTCTCGCCAGAACGCGGGCCACTCTTTGGATCGGAGTACTTTTGTATAGTTGTCGCTCCCTCATTTCCCCTCCTCTTTCCCCTGGTCCTCCTGCTCTTCCCACTACTTCTACTCCACTCCCTGCTCGCTCTGTTCGTCCAAGTCTTCCTCTTTCCTCATCAAGTGGAGGAGGAACGAGCTCTACGTGCTTAAGCCATACAAGATATGATCCAGCACTGGGAGTCGGAGCAGGAGAGGGAGGAGGAACAAGTTCTTGCCTCTGGGATGATGTTATCGCTAGCGCCCCTTATGCTGCCCCCCACCCAGCGAGAACGGAGAGAGGAGGGATGGGGAATCATGGAGAGGCACAGAGGTACGAGAGGGTATGGGGCGGGTGGAGGAGTAGGAGGGGACGACAGGAGAAGGGAAATAGCGACAGGAGGAAGGTGAATCATCGCTCAGGGCCGCACTCCGAACAGGTCCCTCACGGGGACGACGGCTGCGCCCCCTGGGGCGTAGAGCTGATGCACGACCGCGTCGGCATCGTTAACGGGCACGCCCATCTGTGCAAACCTGAGAGGGGACTCGACGCACATCCAGGAGCAGGAGCAGCGGCAGTGGCACCAGCAGCTTGAACAACACCATGCTCGCGCGATGGCATCAACATTTCACCCTGCGTCCTCCTCCCTTCTCCCCTCCCCCCCCACTCGCTCGACCCTCCTCCCTCTATCATCCTCGCTCTCCTCCCCAGGTGGCCAACGCTTCTAAGCGGCAATAATGGTTGTGTAATGTTTACGTTTCTACTCGCCCCGATGTTCTCTCGCCGTCTTTTCTTATGTGGGAGCAAGGTGGGAACGAACTGCTGCTACGCACGTCTCTGCGACGCGACATTATGTTAAGGACCCGTGTTCGGCAATGACAGAATCCTGGGCGCATGTGACTGGGCTTGTCAAATATCGCTGCTCTCACCACCTGCCTGGGACACGCTATGCCACTGACGCGTCAGTCCCATGGGCTGTGACGACTCCTGTCCAGGGAGGCGGTGGTTAGGAAACTTGCCATGGCCATGTGTGAGTTACACGCCTTCCCCACCCACATGTGTAGTTGTCATCGTGCCTGGCACGCTGGCGTCACCAACAGCCATGCCTTAGGAGAAGGTGTGCTGCTTGTTTGTTCACCTAGTGATCTGCTGGCATGGGTCTTTGCGGGGTCCAAACGAAGTGTGACGGCCTCTATGATGCTGCTGCCCACGCCTCGTTCCACAATATCTGGCATTGCCTGCGCCTCCAACTCGTACGGCAAGACCCGGTGCCGCAGGACGTCATTGCACATGTTGGCCCGATTCGTAAGGATTCGTGCTTTTCTTGCGACACCTACTATTCACACATCTCGGGTCACGGGAAGTCAAATGACATTGTGGTCCACTGGCCGTACCGTCTCGATTGAAAGCGCGTTGGTTATCGACGACTCGTGCATTCGGCATGCAATGACGGCGCGTGCATTCGACATCGAAGTACGGAATTGTACAACGCGAACTGGTCCTTTATTGTACTTTGAAGGGGGTGCGCTTGCCTGTGAGACGCGCTCCCAGATCAGCTCCAAAAACAATTCCAATCGTGGGGTTTTGCATCGCGACTGGCTGGGTGATGCGCCTGGCTGGGCAAAACATGATTTGCAACGCACATGCAGACTTTTTCCAACCGTCAGATTTGCTCTAACATGGGTGCACGCTTCTTCTTTATGTCTGGCAACCACCTCGTTCAAGCACAACGCGAGGAAGGCCTCTACGGTGGAGGTTTTAGATAAGGATGCCTTCGATAAGGAACCCAGGGTCTCGCGACCGATGAGCGGCCAAACGTGGGCAACCCACCTCGCCTGGAAATAATAAGGAATGCGCCAAGGTCTGGGCCCCAGGAAGACGTTCCTTAGCCAATGCCGCCGCCGTATCCAAACTCATCAGTCCTTGCTGAAGCCTTGCCTCTCGGTTGATGAGCTCTCCCTCTCTACTCGTAACCGCATCGCCGATGATGGAACAAACGCCGCTGCAGCATTTCAGCCTCAGGATGTGGCAGGCGTCGATCGATACGCCTCTTCCTCTCTCTCTCTCTCTCGGCCTCTCAGTTCTCCGAACGCGGCCATCCACAAGGCGTCCTCCTCCTCCGTCCTCCTCCTCCTCCATTTCCTCCTCCTCCTCCATGTCCTTTTCCATGTCCTCCTGCATGTCCTCCTCCTCCTCCTCCTCCTCCTCCTCCTTGTCTTCGTGTTCGTCATCTTTCTGCTCGCCGCCGCCCAACCTCGACGGTGTCCTCCTCTCGCTCTCCTCATGTCCTTCTTTCTGGTGTGCCTCCTGAACCTCCTCGCACGTGGCCGATGAACCTCATCGTCGTCGTCGTCCTCCTCCTCCTCCTCCAGCTGCCCCCCTCCTCGTACATCCTCCCCCTCCTCTTCCTATTCTTCTGCTCCGCCCCACGCCCCGCCTCTCACAACTTCCATCCACCTCCCGGTCCCCCTCCCCCCTGGGGAAACAAAAGGTACCGATGCCGCTACTTCCCGACCCTCTCCTGGGGAGCACTCAGACCAGAACCTCGAGGAGAATCCGGCCGTGGTGATGAGGGCTCTCCGAGGCGAGCAGCGGCATCGTCCTCTTTTCCTCCTCCGAGCCCCCTCTCCCGATGCCCCCCCGTCCTGGACTGCGCCGCGGGCGCATCTTTGAGGCCTCGGGCCCCGTTGTTTCAGGAGGGAAAGAAACACACAGACACAATTAATCGTCGACTCCAAGGATAATATGCAAAAATATGGGAAGTGGGGGGGAAGACAAAAACCAACAAAAATATAAGAAAATATGGGGAATATTTTTATTTGTGTGTATTTATTTGTGTGTCCTGGGGTCCCTCGGGGATCTTCTGACCCGGGTCAATCCAGACCCGGGTCAGCAGGAAACCAAAAACTGCAATGCAGGAAAAAAAAACTGCAACGCAGGTCTTCGCAAACCAGGGTCAGCCAATATGTGCGGCCGCCTCGCGGCCACGAGCGGCTCCCAAACCCGGGTCAGCCAGAGGAGGTCTTCGCAGGATCCTGCAGGATCTGGCGCCCTGGCTGACCCCCGTTTGCATTGACCCCCGTCTCAAGGCTCCCGAGTCCCTTCATTGTTGCCTGCTCCGGCGCACGGCGCTGCTTGGTCGTGCGCGCCGCCTCCGCCGGCCCAGACGTCGCCCAGGGCCTCCCACGCGCGCCTCCCGCCCCCGTGTGGCCCCCCGATGCTGCCTGCGTGCTGGGAGCCAGGCGGGCACTGCACGGCCGATCGAGATCTGATTCGGCACCCGCCTCGGCGAGCAGGAAGGGGTCAGCCAAGCGGGACGGGATGGGTGGGAGGGGGCGCGCGGGACGTCCTCCCCCTTTCCTTCTTCAACCTCGATCGCTTCCTCTCCGCTCCGCTGGCCGCGACGCCCCGCCCCCTTCTCACTGATCCCATTCGCCCCTGCGCTCCCCGACGACCACTTCGAGACGGTGCTCTTGCCCATGCCGATGCTGCCAGTGAGGCCAGCGACCTCAGACTGCCGAACACAAGGCTCCGGTCTGGAGGCACAGGACAGCCGCCTTTCTTTCGATGCCACCGTCGCGAAGCGCCCCAGCGATGTGGTGAGGTGCCCTTCAGTCACGTTGGCCAGAAGTTGGGGCGGGGGGCGGGGGGGCAGCTGCCAGGCCGTAGGAGGCCAAAGTGCTGCCCACGCAAGTCAACTCATAAGGCAGATCCCGCCGGGGACCAGCGACAACGGTTCGAGGCGCAAAGAGCCGCGGCGAGGAGATCAACACAGACCCATACCGCGAGTTGGCGCGATTGCGCTGCGCTCCATTTTTCCGCGACCCGCTGTTTAGCCAGAGCGGGCTATCCCGCACTGTGGGCCCACTTGCCTTTCACAACGGCTGTGAAAGAGGTGTACGCCTGGGCCCTTCTGGGCCACCATCGGCGCCAAACGCACAGGACACGAAACGCCCTCGCTCCTTTGCCAACGCAAGCTCGCCTGAAGACACAAAGTATGAAGCTTATGCACTGGCGCGGGCCCCAAATAATTGCTCTGTGCTGTCGGCGAATTGCATGCGTTGTATGGCGTGCGATCTACGGGACCCTGTAGGTGTGGAACCCTACCGCTTGCGACCCAATCACGTGGAACTGCATGCGTAAGACGTTACTCCGCTGGTTCTGACATGAGCTCACGAAGATGGCGACGGGTGCGCAGTTGCTAACGACCACAGAGGAGAAGTATACCATAATCCGAACAAGACAATACGATGCCGGACCTCCGATGAGCTCACGGGAGTGGCGACAGATGCACAGTTGGCAACGCCCAAGGAAATTATGACTAATTGACCCGCGTGGGACGTCGCCCCGCTGCACCTCCCAAGACCTCACACGAACGTGGGGGCAACTGCGCAGCTGGCAACACACAGGGATGGCCAGGCGTTCACGGAAGACACACCAGGCCCCCCATTGGCAGAAGCTGGAAAGGGCGAGGCCACTCCGCGCAAAGACGTCACTCCACTGGACCTCTCAAGAGCTGAGGAAAGTGAGGCAGCTGAGCTGAGCCCAGGAGGAGGGGTCCCGCTGGAGTCCGCGCAAAATATTGCTCCTGGACCCCCCCAACAAGCTCACGAAAGTGGCGACAAGTGCGCGGTTGGCAGCGCCCAGGGAGATGAGGTTCGGTTTCGATCTTGGCAATGCCGCGCGCCGCTGAACACCCCTATAAGCTTACGAACGTGGCGGCATGTGCACACCTGGCTGTATAAGACCGCACTCCGCTGTACCCCCCACAGACTCATGAACGTGGCGACAGGTGCGGAGTTGGCAGCACCCATGGAGGCAAAGTCCGGTTTCGATCTAGGCAAGGCGCACTCGGCTGAACCCCGAAAGGCTAACGAAAGTTGCGACAGCTGCGCCGTTGACAGCACCGAGCTAGGAGGCAGGATGGGAGGGGTTGAAAGGCCGGATGAGGAAATAGGACGATCGAGGAGGGAACAACAACGCTCGATCCAACACGAGAGTCCAACACAGTAGAAAAATCATGACGCCGAGCACCGTGAGGTCCGATCTCGCAAACGAAATTCGTTAGGGGCTGTAACACCGAACGCCCCAAGCCGAGGGCTAAATCGCTACAAGCTACAGTACATATGACCTATTTGGCAGCGTGGGGTCCACACATTGAGTTCTTGCACTTTGAACATTCAGTTTATGTGGCCCGCTCTATGCGGTACATCCTAAGAATTGAAACCGACGCAATGTGCAATATGTGGCGCGACCCGTGTGGTGTAAAATACGTATATTTATACACATGTATACCAGTTCTATATCATAGAACGTGCACGGCGATCACAATTCTGTGGTACAGGCTGTACGGTGCATGTTCTGTGGTGGAACCTACGTGGTGCATGCTAGGTGGTGTATGCTACGTGGTGCAAGCCGTGTGGTGCAATACATGTGATGCACTGGATTGGGTGCGCGCAACGTGGTGCAATCTAGGCGATACATTCTCTGTGGTAGAAGCCATGCCATGTGGTCTAGTTGGTGAAGGCTAATTGGTGCAAAAATGTGATGCAAATTATGTGGCGCATTTAATAATGCACATCTTGAAATCTACTTCAATACTCGCGCAACGATCCCATCATCCCACCGGCTACTTGCTTTGCGAAACCCATGCGGCCGCCATTGCGGTGACTGCTTGGCGCTGGTTGGCGCGTCTCTGCGGCAGCGCTGGCTCGCGCAAGCTCGCGCGCAGAGCGGCCAACTGGTTTGGCACAGTTGATGCGGCCGCGATGGCGCTTGCCCATGGGAACTTCCCAGCGCGTCTCAGAGGCCGCGCATCGGTGACTCGGGCGGGCGCGATATCATGATGACGTCGGCGCCGGCGGCAACGGTGCTGATATTAGCGATGGTGGTGGCGATGGTGACATAACGGCGGCAATGCCAATGACGGCGCCAATGTTTTTGACGACGATGACGATGATGATGATGTCCATGTGTTGGTGATGCAAGCGGTTCATGGATTATGGCGGCAATGGCGGCGATTGACGATGATAAAAACGGCGGTGCTGCGATGGCGCCGGTGGGGGTGATGGTGAGAAGGTGCGCGTGCACAGAATTCTAAGATACCTGGCAAACGCTTCGTTGAACAACTCTTGTTTTTCACACGTTTCGACAAGCTCTATCTTGAAGCACGTACACAACAGATTTTGGACGGATTTCGACACGCGCGCGTGGCGCCGCGCGCGTGTGGTCCACAAGGTATTATACGATACGGGTTCGTGCACTGGGCGCAGGCTAGATCAACGCAGATGTAGTGCCGTGAGATGTCAATGCTGGTTCTGGTCCAGATCGCTGCTAAAGTCATGTAATCGTTCCCTATGGTTTCTGCAAGTGCCACGCGGGCAGGACATCTCTAATACTTGCGATGAACAAAGAAATAACGTATTGAGGGTATTCGTATGTTGTAATGCTTGCAGAAGTCGTGTACGTGGTATGCTTGCGACATGTGCATGCGCGTGTGGACTTTGTGCCACTTTTGGCACGGGATGGTTGAAGCATTATCCTTTGAGATAAGCGAGTGCACGCGCACATTGTTCTGTGGCAGGGATGATGGGGGGTGTCAACGGCCAATCTGCCGGGGAAAAGTACGCATTCATAAAGGAAGATGATAGGTGTCCCAGGGGGGTCCGTTCACTCAGGGGGAGAGGGCGGTGGAGTCCACGCTTGATTTGCCAGGGGAGAAGGAGGAAGAGGAGGAGGAGGAGGAGGAGGAGGAGGAGGAGGAGGAGGAGGAGGAGGAGGAGGAGGAGGAGGAGGAGTGGTGGTGGGACGCAGGCATGGCGAAGAGTTCGCGAGCTCTCGTCGTAGTGCCGCGCTCCCCGCCTATGCTTCCCGCTCTGTGGAGTCCATCGTTCCTTTGGAAGGAGAAGCTGCGTCGCGCAGGGCCCCGCGCGCGGGACGCCCACGAGACGCCCAGGAAAGCCCACCGAACGAGGCCTCGCTCGGCCCGCCGGCCCGCCGCGCGAGGCGCCCAGGGAGCGCCCGCGGGCGCCAGCCCTGCGAGGTCCCGGCGAGCCCATCCGCACGTGGCACCCACGAGGCGCCAACAGGCGCCCGCGCGAGATCCCCTGAGATCCGGTGCTCCAAAAAAGTTGGAGCGGGCGGTTTCTGCTAGTTTTCGGCCTCTGGGGGCCCTCGCCGGGCCTCGGGAGCGCCAAAAAACGACCCAGGACGGAAAACCGGTCCCAGGGAGGTGGTCCAGACCTCCTGGGTCCGCGCTCCAAAAAAATTGGAGCAGCCGGATGTCTGGGTCCCGACCCACCGTGCCACGCGAGGCGCTGCAGAGGCGCCCAGGGGCGCCACGCAGGTAAGACGCCCGACACACCCACCCACGCGAGGCCTCCAGGAAGCGTCCGCGTGCGCCCACTGGGCAAGAGCCCGACCCGCGCATCTGTTTTCTGCGAAAGCAAAGTAAGACCCTCGTAGTGCAAGCGCTGCTTGGGGGGCTAAGCGCACGCAGTGTTTGGAGGAAAACTGACAGCGCACTGGCCACTTGCCTCACAGGACTGGTGGCGAAAGAGTGCGTGTAGCCTTCTGTCCTGGCCGTGCGGAAGGCCGCGGTGTTGACGGCAGTCTAGCTCAACAAGTCACTCCGGGGCCTGGGAGAAGTATGGGCAACAACCCGCATTCGATTCGACAAGTGTTGCATTCTCGGCGCGGACAAGAACCATACGATGTCTGGTAAAAGAGCACTTCAATCTGACGCAATATGTCTTGCCCACGTCGGCGTGAGGCCACTTGTCAGAAAGCGATTGGCACCGGAATCTACCATTCAACCTTGCCATGTAACATAAACACTCCAAGAACTGAAGGCGATGGCGCGTAACGACGGCACCATTCAAACTGTGTGGATCTATCACAATCCGGCTCGCAAAGAACAGACGAAGCAACGCACAAAGCCGCGCTAAGCCCTCAACCTAGACCAGCGCGCGGATCGTCGCCAGGTTGGGAAAACCGATCACGGGCACTTGGCAAACACGTTGCTTCCCCTCACCCCTCTCCCCCACGTCCCTCCTGCAGTGGCTCCTGCTGATTTTTTTCCCAGACGTCGAATCCTGTGAGGCCCGAATTGCTTCAGGAGGGTCCCTTTCTGGGCCGCAGAATGCGACAAGTGTGCCGCCCGCGCGCCGTGCCAAGCTGCGCCCCCGTGCCGAGACCCAGGCTCCAGAAGGCGAAGGCCGTGCCGTGCAGTGCCGGGCCCGCGTGCGGTGCGGGCCTCAGCTCTAGAACGCGAGGTTCGCGCCGCCGCGTGCCGCGTGCCGTGCCCAAGTTTTTTTCCATGTGAGAACGTGCCGTGCCGTGCCCGCGTGCAGTGCCGCGCCTAGGTTCTGGAATGCGAGAACGGTGCCGGTACGGTGCGGTGCGAGAGCGGTGCGGTGCCGTGCCCGCGTCCGGCGCGCCGCAGGCATGGGAACACACACGCATCGTGCCGCGCGTGCCTGGGTTGCAAGAGCGGGCAACGTGCTGTGCCGTGCAGATCCCGCGTGCCGCGCCGTGACTCTGGAATGTGAAGAATGTGCCGTCCCGTGCCTTGCCAGCGTGCCGCGCCGCGCCTGATTTCTAGATTCTAGGCTGCAGAAAATGTGGCGTGCTGTGCTGATGCTCTAGAATTCGACAGTCGTGCCATGCCGTGCAATCCCCACGCGCTGTGCCGTGCCGTGCTTGGGTTCTTGTGGCAATGGCCACCGATACCGAGCACGTCCCCTTTGTCGTCGACTCAACACGTGTGTTCTCGTGCAACGTTGCTGCTTAAGGTCTCCGTGCACAGATCTCTGAAACGCCGTCGGAAAACAGACACCCGACGTCCTCCTCCTCCTCGTCCTCCTCTTTCCCCCCTCCTCCTCCTCCTCCTCCTCCTCCTCCTTCTCCTCCTCCTCCTCCTCCTCCTCCTCCTCCTCCTCCTCCTCCTCCTCCTCCTCCTCCTCCTCGTCCTCCTCTTTCCCCCCTCCTCCTCCTCCTCCTCCTCCTCCTCCTCCTCCTCCTCCTCCTCCTCGTCTGCCGCTGCCGCCGAGCTGGCGGCCACGGTTTGCCCAGGGCGGCGTCCCTGGCGGCGCGGGCGTTCGGGCGGCTGCTCCATGGCGCGGGTGCGCCCCGAGAGGGGGAGGGGGGGGGAGGATGCGACGCTGCCCCCAAAGTGACGAGCCGAAGCTCCTGCCTCCTGCCTCCTCCCTTCTCCTCACCCTTCTTCCTCAACCTCCTCCTCCTCCTCCCTCCTCCCTCCTCCTCCTCCTCCTCCTCCTCCTCCTCCTCCTCTCCTCCCTCGTCCTCGTCTCGTCCTCCTCGTCCTCCTCTTTCCCCCCTCCTCCTCCTCCTCCTCCTCCTCCTTCTCCTCCTCCTCCTCCTCCTCCTCCTCCTCCTCCTTGTCCTCACGGCGTGGTCGACGTCGAGACGGGAAGGGCGTGGTCGAGGACGCGGATGAGCATGACCACGAGGAACGGGGAGCGAGGACGAGGAACGAGGAGCAGGAGGGAGAACGAGGGCGAAGCCTGACGACGGCTGACGAGGGTGGGAACGAGGGCGCTGGGGCGGCGCGAGGCGACTGGATGGACCCGCCAGCACGTGGCGCAACCCTCCTGAAACTTCTACGTGTCCTTATTTGCCCGCGTGCTTCTGGAAGCGAACATATTACTGTAACACTTCCCCCAGGCCGTGCTTGCAATCAAACGTTCTCGCTTGCGAAAAGCCTGACGAAGACCCCAACCTTCTGCAACTGCGAAAACAGCATTGTGGGTACCGCGTTCGGTGGAGCTCCTTATGGGGCCACGAACCGTGTGAGGGGTGTGCCCAATTGGGTGCGGTGGTGCCATGCGATCCCTCCCACTGGAGCCTTAGGCGGACCTCCCTATTGAGCCACGGACGGTGTGAAGGGTGTGCCGAATTGGGCGAGGTGGTGCCATGCGAACCCTCCCTCTGGAGCCTTCGGCGGAACTCCCGATGGGGCCGCGAATCGTGTGTAAGGTGTGCCGAATTGGGCGCGGTGGTGCCATGGGAACCCTCTTATGGGAACATTCGGCGGAACTCCCTATTGGGCCACGAATCTTGTGGAAGGTGTGCCGAAGTGGGCGCAATGATGCCATGCGAGCCCTCCCACTGGAGCCTTCGGCAGACCGGAGCTCCCTATGGGGCCACGAACCGTCTGAGGGGTGTGCCGAATTGGGCGCGGTGGTGCCATGCGAACCCTCCCACTGGATCATTCGGCGGAGCTCCCTATGGGGCCACGAAACGTGAGGGGTGTGCCGAATTAGGTGCGGTGATGACATGCGAACCCTCCCATTGGAACCTTCGGCGGAGCTCCCTATAGGGCCACGAAACATGTGCGGGGTGTGCCGAGATGATGGACTTGTGGAGGACAGAGGCACGGATGGGAGGAGGGAGGAGGCGGGAGCAGAACGCGGGGCGCTGTCTCGTCAAAACGAGGAGCCAACACCACAGGATGGTTGGGGAATCAACTGACCCTGGCTGCTGGGTTCTGGATGTCAGCGCTATAGGGTTCTGATTGTTGCCGATGGGCGGGCTGACACTTTCGAGCCTTGGCCGCACGGTCTCGTTCCTCGTGGGGGTGTCGCCAATTCCTGGCCGTCGCAACATCGGGCCAAATAAACAAAAGGATTTCACACTTGGAGGCATAGGAATCTCAAGCATCAACAATTAAATTTAACCGTGGACGGCGTCCTACCGCATGTCTCATCGTCGATGAGACATGCGGTAAGACGCCATGCGGGTGTTGCTTCAACCATCGATGAGTCATCGATGGCTGAAGCAACACGCATGCTAGCAATCCTAGTGGCGTCATCGCGGTTTGACTCCCTCCTTTCAGAACTGGAGGAGCCGCAACGAAGTCCGAATCAAAGCGTCCCGCTCCCGTTCATGACGTTTAACGTGACCGGCCCACTTGTCAGATGGCTTACGGAATGAAGTGCGCAACGGCGCACTCCGTGCTAACAAGTCCGTGCTTCTCAGCGAGTCTGTGTCTCTCAAACTGCTTCCAGACACGTTTGGCGCGATTAAGACTCCCACCGCAGTATGCGGCGTTTCAAGCATTGGGCTGACAGAATATGCTGCTGAGCAAAAGAAAATACGAATGATCGCCAGAAATTGCAAGCTGCAGGCAAACGCACGACATGTAGGAGGATGTCAGGATGCGTTGCACAAGCAAACTAAATCGTGCCCCAACTGGGTTGATACAATTGGGCGGATGAACTGGCGCATCATTGCGAAAGCTGCGCATTCTGAGTTGTTCAACTAGCGTAGGGGAGAGGGAAAGATCGCATGAGGGGGTGTGTTCGGAGCGCTTGGCGGGGCATGCGGTCGTCAAGCGGTGGCATCGAATTATGTGTAATATCGTTCTTCCGAGAAGCCACCCCGCATCGTATTCTAAAAGCCCACGGGGGCGCGCCAGCACGGCCATCCATGGCTCGGATGGACGGGTAGCGTCGATGCTCGAATCGACAATTTTGGTTACTGGTTGTGACGCTGCCATGCGTCGGGGTAGCGCCTGCTGGGACAATCTGACAAAAGAGAATCTTGATGTTCAGCGCGCCCGTCCCGCGTTCCCCTCCTCCTCCTCCTCGTCCTGCTCCTCCTCCTCCTCCTCCTTCACTCCTTTTCCTTATGTATGAATAATTTTTCCCTGTCGCACACCGAGGCGAATTTTTATGGCAGGCGGAGCGTTTCGCCTGAGACTTCCTCACGAAGTATGACCCTCAAACTTTACATATGACAGAAGGTTCACAGATAAAGGGCGGGTAGTTTTCAACATGTGACTCTCACTGTAGCACCGAGCACAATCGTTTAAAAGATGTACGCAAGTTTCACGGATTGAGCGCGCGCATTCCTTCTAACACACTTGCAAGAGCTACACGGATTGAGGGCGGCGCCTTTTCAAAATGGTGTTCTCGCCTTCGCGCCGAGCACATTCGTCTTCAACATGTGCAAGAATTTCACGGGGTCCCATGATCAGTGTACCAAGACTTGTGTTTAGGAAGGATTCCAGATTTGCAACAGTTGCATTGATTCGCGGTGATGAAGTCCCAGGAACGGCGTTCTGGTACGATTCAGGATCGTCAAGACGCAACACTCAAGTTGATCCGTGGCGTTGGGATCCCGAGAACAATGTTTTGGCATGCTTCAGGATATTCGAACGGTTGTCCTCCAACGAGGCAGTTCCCTCAGTGGAGGTGACCCGCTGTAGGGGCCTATGAAGAGGGAGTTTGGAGGGAGGGTTTATTCCAACATCGTTGATGACTCTTGGGTGTAAGCAGGTCCTCCTCATCCTCCTCCGCTCCCCCTCCTCCTCGTCCTCCTAATTCTCCTCCTAATTCTCCTCCTCGTGCGAGTAAACGATGTGGTCTATCTTGCGCGCCTCTGGGGCAGCTGATGTTTTTTTTCGGCCTCGGCCAGGTAACCGGAGTCTCGATTGCGCTTGGTAGTCTGGGCTGCGCTTGGCAGTCGCGCAGATCTCGGGGCGAGCTTTCGCCACGCCCCTGGGGGAATGAAAGTAGGAGGACGGGGAGGAGGAGGAGTGACAGCACCCTGGGGGCGCCGCGTGTCTCCGAAGCCGCCGCTACATCTAAGAAACGAATGCAGACTGCGAGACAATTGCGGCGCTGGGCATGGGCTGTACTGCATCATCGTGGTGCGCACTTCCAGCGCTGGTATAAGGCTCCGAAGGAGCGGAATGTTATTCGTCATTATTCGGGAACGCAAGAAAAGATGGGATGGGTGTCAACATCAAAGAGGAGGAAAATGGAGCCGAGCAGAGCGCGGGGCGCCAAGAAGACATGGACGGGAGCGAAGCAGAGGGGAGGACGGGGAGGAGATGGATGCCGGTGACGATGAGGAGGAGGAGGCGCGACCAGATCGAAACGAGTGCGCAGAGACGGCGGGCAGCAGAGGGCACGAGCAGGGAAAAGGGGCTAGGGCGCACAACACGACGACATAAAAGAGACAGCCGACGGCGGAGGCCGACTGCCGCATTGCACACGTCAGGGGAGGCGTGCAAGCAAGACAATGGCGGAGCACAGCGGGGCTCCGAGCGGAAGAGCACAGGATTGCCCAAGGCAGTCATGGCGCCAGGGCTGGCCGCAGGGACGTTACCCTGCAGTCAGCCACGGCGCGCCAGCACGAGGCGGAGACGTGGCAGCCCGAAGCGGTGAGCGCAGACGCGAGGGGCCCCCAACGGCATCCCCCAGCCTGCGACCACTACTTCGCACCACCCTTCCCCGCCAGACTGGCAGACGAGCAGCAGCGGCGGTAGCACTCGCACGGAAAAATACTCAGGACTCAGGCCGAGCGCGTCCGACGCCTGGACGACATGTCCGCGAGAGGCTGCATGTCCCAATCGAAGGCGGGGTCGCAGTGCGCCTTGCAGTGGCCACGGCTATCACAGATGGCACACGGAATGAAGCCGTCCGCAATCTCCTCCCAGAGGTCGTCCAGGAAAGCCACGCTGCTGGAACGTACAAAATACCCAAAGCACCGCAGGAGGTGGGCGTCGGCACTCCTGGTACCGATCGGCGACGGAGCGCCCCCATCGCCGCCAGAGGCGGTGGGGACGCCGCTGGCAACAGCCGCGGCAGCACCCTGCTCGTTCTCCTTCACTTCAACCAACATGAGGAGGAGGAGGAGGAGGAGGAGGAGGAGGAGGCCAAGCTCGACTCAGTCCAGCTCGACGTCCGCGAGCGTGTCCACGTAGCCGACGCCGCCGAAGTCCTGCGCGCGGCGCAGCAGCTCTGCGCCGAGCCGCTCCGGGACCACGAGGCGCTTCCCCCTGCTGCGGAACCTTGGATGCTCGTTCTGCGGACCTTCCTGGAGCCACTCGCTCCACTCGTGCGTCGAAGCTGCGTCGAACGTCAGTCGACTTGGGTCGACCCTGAGTCGAACCCGAGTCGAACCTGAGTCGAACCCGAGTCGAACCTGAGTCGAACTGGAGTCGAACTGGGGTCGAACAGATCCCTCAGGTGGGCCCCAGGAAGGTCCCCCAAAACGAGCATCGAACGATGCGCTTCCCCCTGCCGCGGAGCCAGACGCCGAAGTAGAGCCGCGCGTGGAGGAGGTGCGGCTCGGGGGCCCCGCTGGCATCCCACGCGCCGCTGCCGCCGCCGGGCTCCAGCAGGCCGAGCGCGCGCTCCGCGAAGACCCGCCAGGTGGCTAGGAGGGCGAGGAGGCTGCGGCGGTACACGGCGCAGGCGGCGGGGCACCCCTCCGTGGGGGAACTAAAATCTCCTCCTCCTCCTCCTCCTCCTCCTCCTCCTCCTCCTCCTCCTCCTCCTCCTCCTCCTTCCTCCTGCTCCTCCTCCTCCTCCTCCTCCTCCTCCTCCTCCTCCGCTTCCTCCCCCCACTCCTAGCCCTTTCGATCAGGGTCGGCGGCACCGGCCGTCAGGCCTCTCCAATACGGATACCGCCACTCTTGGGTCGGGCCTGTCCCCCTGCAGGGGGATTTCGGACGAAACGTAGAAACTGCCTGAATCAATCTCGAACAACACTCGAACATACTTTGAACAATTGTCCCCAGACTACAATATCTTTTTTGAAAATTCCTCCTGTAGAGGGACAGGCCCGACTTGCCGCTGCTCCGCAGACTTCTCCTGGCGTGCGCCCTGACCAACACCTCGAGGATCATCCGGCCGTGGCGACCAGGAGCTCCCCAGGGCGAGCTGCGGTGCCCGCATCGGCACCTTCTCCCCCAGGACACACAAACAAATACACACACAAATCAAAAGAATCCCCTATATTTTCCCATATTTTCGGGGCTCCTGTCCTCCCCCCCACTTCCCATACTTTCCCATATCTTCTGGGGCATCGAGGATTAATTATGTCCGTGTGCTTCTTTTCCTCCGCCTCTGACCTCGGGAGGCCTCAACGGCGCGGCGGCCTCGTCCAGGGAGCCCAGCAGCACCCGGAGCGCGGCCGCCTCCGCCTCGGGCGGCGTCCGCCGCGCGCCGGCGCCCGCGCGCGCCGCAGCAACCGCGCGGCACGCCTCCAGCAGCGCCTCGATGGTCTCGACGTCGGCGGGGCGGTCGCCGCGGAGGCTCAGGGGGTGCGCGGCGGCCCCGTCCCCGGCGGCGCCGCCGAGGGCCAGCGTCAGGTCCAGCTTGTCGTGGCGGTTCCCCGGCACGGCGAAGCCGTAGTGCGCCAGGAGCATGTCGTTGCCCTCAGCGGCGACGCGCCGAGGGGGGGAAGCGAAGGGGGGCGGGCCTTCTCAGAAGGCGGCGGGGCCTCAGAGACAGCTCAGGAAGCTCCTCGCAAGGCCAGGGGTCTTGCCGAGACTTCTGGGAAGGCCCACCCGTCTGCCTTCCCCCCTGGGCGCGCCGCCGACCTTGTCCCCGTAGTTGAGGAGCAGCTCGTCGCCTGCGGTGATCGCGCGCCGGGTCTTGATCTCAAAGCCAGAGCCCAGGCCCTCGTACTTCCACTTGGCGTTGCCGCCTGCGCCCGCGGCGTGGTTGATCATGTCCGCGAGGGGAATGAGGGCCATGGCTTCGTCCTTCCCGGCGTCGCCGCCGAGGCCGTGCTTGGAGCTCGTGGCCCAGAGCTTGCCCATCTTCATCTGGACGTCGAAGTTGAGCCGCATCCGCGAGAGCGTAAAGGTGCGGCTGAACACGGCGAAGCGGGCCCGCAGGAAGCGCTCCAACGACAGGTCGCCTGCCTCTTGCAGGGCCCGCAGGCGCGCGAACTCGGCGTCCAGCAGCTTCCTTGAAGGGGCCCCAAGGACACACAAATGAATACACACAAAGAACAGGATTCCCCATCTTTCCCAAGATTTTCGGGGTTTTTGTCTTCCCCCCCACTTCCAATAAAATTCCAATATTTTCTGGGGAATCGACGACTCATTGTGTCTGTGTTTTTTTGCCCCCCTCCTGACTCCTGCGCGACAGCACGTAGTCCTCCACGGCAAGGCCCCCGGCACAGGCGTGGACCTCTGGAGGCCTCCCAGATGGGGTCGCAGGATCGAGCCGCATCGCCGATGCATCGGCGATGCTATAGGGGAACAAAAAGTAGCATAAACATAAAAACTCTGAGGTCCGCGCGGATTTCTCGGATCGGCGCTGGGCCCCCCCCGGCGGCGCCTCCGGCGCCGCCCCTAGCGCGCTGCGCGCGCCAGGGAGGGGGGTCCAGCGCCGATTCGAGAAATCCGCGCGGACCTCCGAGTTTTTATGTTTATGCCACTTTTTGTTCCCCTAGCATCGCCGATGCATCGCCGATTCATCGGCGACGCATCGGAGACGTCGGCGATGCGTCGGCGACGTCGTTGTGGAGAAGTTCGAGCTCCAACTCGTTCCGCATCGCCGATGCATCGCCGATGCGGCGCGATCCTCCGACCCCACCTGCTCGGAGCCCACTTGGGAGGCCAGGCGCCTCCGCCTCCGAGAAGTTGAAGGCCAGCCCCGGGAAGCTGGACGGCAGGGAGCCGAGGTACGCGCCGAACTCGCTCTCGGCGAGCGCCCCCTCGTGCAGCAGCCAGGCCGTCAGCAGCAGCCCGTCCAGGTCGCCGAACGGCTCTTCCTCGTGGAGCGCCAGCACCGCCCTGCCGAGGGGCGTGGCCGCCGCGCGGTACACGGTCACCAGCAGCTCCACCGGGACGCTCAGCACGGTGTGGCCCTGCGGCAGGTCGCGCGCGGCGAAGATGCCCCGCTCGCCCGTGGGGAGCTGCCGCACCTCGGCGCCGCTCAGCGCGCAGCCCCTGCAGCCCATCTGGTCCCAGAGCCGCGCCCCGACGTCCGCGCAGCCCTCTGCGGGGCAGGTCTCCGTAGCGTCCTGTGCGGTGGCGCGGGGCTGGCGCCAGAGTGCCGCCGCCACGGCGAGGAGCCTCCGCATCGCTCTTGCCGTGGTCGCGGCCGTCGCTGGCAAGGCGCCGCCCGAGCCGAAGTGGCCTGAAGCCAAAGCTGCAGAACCGCTTCCTCTTGGCCCGTCGCAGCGCGGCAGAGGCAATCCGCGCGCGCGTCCGAGCGACACCAGGGCGCGGGGTCGCGAAATAGAAATAGCCCACATGCAAGAGGGGAGCAAACGAGGAGGAGGCGGCCGCGGGAGAGGGGGGGGGGGGGGCGCGGGGGCGCACTCACGCGGCGGGGCTGCGGTGGGTTCGGGTCCTCCTCCTCCTCCTCCTCCTCCTCCTCCTCTCTCCTCCTCCTGGGGAGGAGGAGGAGGAGGAGGAGGAGGAGGAGGAGGAGGAGGAGGAGGAGGAGGAGGAGGAGGAGGAGGAGGAGGAGGAGGAGGAGGAGGAGGAGGAGGAGGAGGAGGAGGAGGGTCCATCCTGGCAGCGGCTGCGGGTCGGCTTCGCAGCGCACCCCGAGGGGAGGCCGGCCGCCACTCCGCGGGCGTGGCCCAGCAAGACAGGCGGAGGCAGCGGCGGCTGGAAACCAGGTGGCCGGCAGAAGAATCAGGGGGACGTGAGACCTGGGTACAGTGGACTCGGAAATCCCCGACGAGGTCGTCAAAAAAATGACGAGGCCGAGCCTGCATTCTGACGAGGCCTCCCGCTGCAGACATCCCACGAACCTCCTCCTCGTCAGAATCCGAGGCGCGGTCGTCAAAAAACGATGGCGAACCCGAGTCCTGGCAAACCCGGGTCTTACGCTCCCCTGAAAGAAGGGGGGTGGCAGCGGCGCGGAGCCGGCGGCCAGAGGTCGGCCAGTGCTGCAGCAGCTGCGAGGGGCCAAAGGCGGTGGCGGGTGCGGCGGCCCCGAGGCAGGGGCGGCCGGCGGGCGCCAGCCGCGGGGCGCGGCAGAACAACTTGCGCAGGCAAGTGCTTGCCAGCGCGGGTGTCCCGAACGGCGGGCTCTTGCACTCTCTCTGTGCGTTCTGTGCGGTGTGTTCCACCCACCGTGCAACATCCACGCGTGGCATCCTCACGTGCTCGTGCAAACATCCCACCCGCCCGCCAGCAGCTTGTTGGCAAACCTCATGCGGCCGTGTTCGCAGCGAGCGTAAAGGCGCGTGGAACTCAAACGCTCAGACAAATCCGTCGTGCAGGGCACAGCGCGAAATGCTGATGACGATGGTGTCGATGGCGACGACAACGCCGACGACGGTGATGATGATGAGAAGGATGATGCTGAGGATGCTGCTGATGATCTCGATGGTGATGGTGATGATGATGATGATGATGATGATGATGATGATGATGATGATGATGATGATGATGATGCGATTGATGATGACGATGATGATGATGATGATGATGCTGATGATGCTGATGCTGATGATGATGATGGCGATGATGACGATGACCATGATGCTGCTGATGATGATGATGATGATGATGCTGATGCTGATGCTGTTGATGATGATGGTTCCATGATCGTAATCATCATGACGACGATGGGGACGATGCCGTCGACAGCGACGGTAATGTTGATGAATCTGGTGATGATGAACACGACGGTGGCAGCGATGATGCCGGCGATGATGATGACAATGTTGCTGGTGAGAATGATCAGGAAATGCCCGGGCGCAGAAATTTTAAGAGATCCGCGTCATCGACGATGACGGCGGAGGTGACAATGTCGGCGCGGGATAGACGAGCAAGTGCGCGGCCGCAGAAGTCCAGAACTCCTGGCGTAAAGAATCGAACACATCAGAGTTGAACTTATTGGATAAGCAATGATGTTGTAAGAGGTTCGACGTGCGCGCGGAGACGCTCGCGTGGCCTGCATGCTGTTCTTTGACAGAGTTGGCATGTGCGCGATGGCCATCGAACGGTCTCGACACACGCGCGCGTGCGGCTCGCATGCTCTCGTTTGATAGAGCAGCCAAAGAACAAGCGGTCGTGCACAACCGCTGAGCACATAACGAACAAACTGCCCTGAGGGGAAGCGCGAAGTCCCGCCTCGGCAGGGAGGTCTACTTCACATCCCCTGAGATGCGAGTCAACGTGCGGGGCGGCCACAAAACGGCCGCGGGCGAGGACCGAGCCAAAACACCCAGCCAGAGCACGGGGCGGCCACGGGGCGGCCACTGGACGAGCACCCTGCAAGCTTGGCCAAAGCACGGCGCTGCCACGAGGCGGCGACGGACGGCTGCCGGGCGAACGTCCAGTAAACCCAGCCTGTGCACGGAGCGGCCGAGGGGATGCCGCGGGCGGCCAACGCGCGAAAACCTGCTTTCCACCCAGTTATTTTGAAGACACGTAAGACACCCTCAGTGCAAGTACAGCTTGTGGAATGTAAGCTATATGGGATAGGCCACGTTAAGTATTGATACAGGCATGGGGCCCACGCAGCGACTGCGCGCAATCTATGAACTGCTACCCGTGGCTTGCGATCTATGCGGCCCGTGGGCCCCAAACAGCGACTCTGTGGAATCTATGAATATCTACCTGTGGTTTGCGACCTACACGGCACCATCGTGTGGACTCTATCGCCAGGAACTCTGTATCGTTATACCCTATGGTGCGGGGCCCTATCGTCTCGGACTCTATCGTGCAGTCTTATGCATGGGTGAACATGGCCGTGTGAGACCCTATGCTGTGGACCCCTGTCGAAATTGATCGTAACAAGAAGGTATGGGACCGTGGGGCCCTAGAATGCGGGACACTATCGCCTGGGACCCGAAACTGTGGGACCCTATCGCGTGGGACCCTATCGTACGGGACCCTCGTGCAAGATCGCATACCATTTCACAAGAGAGTATCTCCGCGATCACTGCGAACAGCGTCAACATCTCGCACAACAGGCGCAACCCATTAGACAACCAATGCTTCAAGCACGCACCCCTTGCGATGCAATTCTGGCCTACAGGGTGAGCGCTACGTGAGCAACGTGTCAGTTTGAGTCAGCATAACGCAAAACAGATCCATGCCATACAAAGAAAAGCGATTCCACATAATGCATACCAGCGCACCACCGTACAGAACAACGCCGACCACCTCTGCCCAACGCCATGCATGCAACTGAACACACTGCACGTTAAGACAGAACACATGGCAACATTGCATACCACACGAATGCACATGCGTGCGAAGGATTGCGCTGCAATGCGCAAACAAGACACATGGATGTACTTCAAGAAAAGACTGTGCAAAGCAAATGCACCACTGCGCCCCCTGGCACGTTGAGGCGTAGTAGACTGCCAAATGCTGTCTGGTGGGGCTTCTGTTTTCCGATAAGGAGTCCCCCCCTTTACCCGCTCTCGCCCGCATGCCCTGTGGACGGAAGTTGACAACCAAAGAGTCGAACCTACAGTGTGGTCCGTAGGTAGAGAACGACTGGGAAAAGAGAGAAGAGACCCTTTCCCCATACGCCGCGGGATGAGCGGCGCGAGTGCTGTCCGACAGGACTGTCCCACACCTGAGCCGAGACGGTAGCAGGATAGATGGATAGGAAAGTGATGTGAACGGACTTCACACACACAGGCCCCCCCTCCCTCCGGGGTCCACGGTCCCTTGCAAAACACTACAGGGCACTTTTTGATACATGGGATTTTTTACATATATATATATATAAGATTTTCAAAACCTGATTAACTTATGAATGCATTTATGCATGAGCCCATCGTTGTTTTTAGTACTACATTCCTGCATGTTTAATACATGATCCGCACGCGGAGCATGTATAAAAAACGGCATTGTACTATGCATCTGCGCTCCCGAGGCTAACCAACAAATATGTGGCCGCGCCCCGAGCTCCCAAGGCGGCCCGTGCAAACAATCAGCCCGGTGGCCTTGGAGACGGCAGACGATGGCTCCAAAGCGGCCGCACATGGCCCCAAGACGTCCCAAGATGCTTCCAGGGGGCCCAATCGGGCCACGCGATGACCCCCTTATCAGGGTCCGAAGGGGCCACTGTCATTGATGTCCCGTTTTTTTTTTGCACAAATACTGCACTCTCGCTTTTCAGCTCAAGACGGCCCAAGAAGCCTCCACGAAGGCTCGGAGACGAGCTAAGAAGCCCTCAAGAGGGTCCCAATGTATTTTCCATACGTCGCACATCATCCACTACAGTCGGTAGGCAACGGGGCCACCCCGAGCTCTGGGACCGCAAACGCCAGCAGCAAAGCCGCCCCGCAGCGTGCAAGTGAGGAGTGCCTGGGCAGCGATGAAAAATTCACACAGGGGGCGAAGAGGAGGAAAGAAGCAGGGAGTGGCGGATAGCTCGTGCATGTGAAAAGAAAACAGATTTCGCCAGGGACGTCCGCAAATTGTCCCACACGAGCGCAAGAAGAGGAGCCTGTGCGTGCGTAAGCCTATCGGACCTTGCCAGCGGCACTCGCACTATTTTCCCTTGCGGCTGGAACCAAAACGAGGAAGCGGAATGAGAGAAGGGGGAACTGGGAAGAGAGGGACAAGGCGATAGGGGTGGCCAAATAACCCTGCCCAGACAAGTGGGAACGGGAAGTGACACTGTGCCACAAACCCTACTGGCCTCGAGCGGCCAATACAACAATCCCACACAACAAGAGAAAAGGAACACGAACGAGGCCAGGAGAGGGCGGGCGAATGCGAGGGAGAGGGGAGAAGAAGGAAGAACACAGACGGCCAAACGACCACAGCCCAAAGGCTCCACGAACCAGCGCCACAACAACAAGAGCAAGGATGTGGGACGCTGATCTGGAAAGTGAGACTGTTGACCGGATGGCGCACCGAGCCCGCTCCATGCGACAGCCCAGTCGGGGCGGATGCCCAGAGGGGTGTGCGGCGCTTTCGCAGGCGGCCGCAAGCCAGAGGGCACGCAACATGAACATGCAAACGAGGCGGCGGAGCAGAGTAGGAGAGGAGGAGGGACGGGCAACAGACAAGGGCACAGGCATCCAGCCTCCAGCGAGCAACCGCTTTACTATTTTTTTTTGGGGGGGGGGAGCGAGGACGAGACCGGCAGAGAAGGCAGAAGACTGGCCGACCCCACCTGGGCTAGCCGGCGTGCCGCCTCCGGGAAACGTGCGAGGGGTGGGGGGAAAGTGCACACTGCATCTGCGCGCGCAACCTGTGAATGCAGCGGGGGATCGCGACCTTAGGGGGCGATCCCGATGGACGCGAACATGATGTCCCCGATAATGGCCCTGACAACGCTCCATATTCAGGAGCAGTGCGCCCGAGAGAGCTCTTGGATGCTCCAAAGCGCATGGGTGGCCCTCGCGCCACCCCCTACACATGCCGATATCAGCCCATGTCAAAAACAGGGTTGCAGTATAGTGCAACAGCACGCGGATCCCCAGTTCCTGAGAGCGGACCTACCACCACCACCTCGAGATAAGGGACAGAGTGCAGTGTTGCGTAGCGGGAGAAGTGCTGCAAATCGTTGTGCCGGTGGATGTCCTCGTGCTGCGCGCTGCGAGTCATCACTACGATGTGTTCTTGGAGCAGCGCAGACATGGTGCCCGTCCCATTGCTCGTTTTGCTCACGGGAGGCACGCCTGCGCCTGTACATGTGTATATATACATTTATATGTATAGATATAACTGTATGTATGTATTTGTGTGTATATATATAGATATATGTCGTAGTGGTGCCGGCCCTGGAGGTGGTGGCGCAGAGGCATATCCCACCATATCAGCCAGCGTTGACTCCAAATACGTGGGTGATGATGGTGATCATGACGATGATGATGACGATGAGGACGATCCTGCTTTCCACACGCGCATACTCCAGTCCACTGTACTGTACCGTGCGGCCCAGCAGCTGCGTACCGAGTCCGTGATAACAGCCCGCACTTCCGCACCAAGATGAGCGGCGACGTACTGCTGGAACTGGTCTTTGGTGCTCCGCGTCATGCTGTCGGTGCCCGTCGTGCTGCCCAGCGTCGTGTTCCTGGATGCTGGTGTCCGTCGCGCTGCCTTCCCATTGAACATAAGGGCCAGCATTCATCAGAGGACAAATCCTGCCCCCCCCCGGATCAGTGGGACCACTGAGTAGCACTACGTGGCAGCACCACAAGTACAGAGTGCAACATCACTAAGTAAACCTCCGCGACTCTGGGTCCGATGGTGACTCCGCGATTCACACTGAGTTTTACCGAAGATGGGTTGGCATCCCCGCGTGATGTCGCAACAAATTCCCAAGGGGGCCCCAAGATGGTCCAAGAAGACCCCACGATGGCCCAACAAGCATCCAAGGCGGCCGCAAGACGGCTCAAGAGGTCCTCCTGTGAGACGCAGGGTGGTCTCGGAAGGCCTTTCGTCGAAGGACCTCCAATACAACCACATATGAAGCCAAACCAACCCAACGACGGCCCAAACAAGTTCAGTGAGAGCTTCCACACCACTTCTGCACCTCCACCTCCTCCTCCTCCTCCTCCTCCTACTCCTCACCATCATCAGCATCATCACCATCACCATCACCATCACCATCACCATCACCATCATCGTCATCATCGTCATCAACATCAGCAGCAGCACCAGCATCATCACCACCATGACCATGACCATGACCATGACCATGACCATGACCATGACCGTGACCATGACCATGACCATGACCATGACCATGACCATCACCAACATCATCACCATCACCATCACCATCACCAACGTCGTCACCACCGCCATCCTCATCCTCATCCCCATCCTCCTCCTCCTCATCCTCCTCCAGCAACATCATCATCATCGTCGTCGTCATCATCATCATCATCATCCTCATCCTCATCCTCATCATCATCATCATCATCATCATCATCATCATCATCATCATCATCATCATCATCATCTTCATCGTCGTCGTCGTCGTCATCGTCGTCATCGTCATCGTCATCGTCATCATCGTCATCATCCCCATCACCCGCATCATCCTCATAATCTTTACCATCGTTATCACGGCTCCCTCAATCAAGCCTGGAGACACTGGGGGTCATACGTGACGGACTGCTGTGCCCCCCCATCGAACCGTCGCTACCCAGAATGCTGGGCTGGCGCAGTGGCGGGACTTGCCGCAGGCAGCAGGACAAATTGCAAACAACGCTAAGCAAGGCAAAACAGTGCAGACTGTTGCAAGACAGTGCGTTGCAGGGCATCTCAAAACAAACCGATGCAACTCAGTGCAAACCAACAAGTACTGTTGCTGGTGTTGCTGCAACTGCTGGTGATGCTGCTGCTCAGGCTGCTGCCGTTGGAGGAACAGCATGGGGCGGCCAGGCAGGGAGGGATCGGCAGCGGCAAGACGGTGTCCAGGAGAGGATGTCCATCTGCTCTGAGGGAGGAAGCGCAGATGTTGGGAAGCGGATCGAGCTCCTTGAACGTGTGGCTCGTTCCAAAAACCCTGAACACAAAACTGCGTGCATCTCTTGGAGACCATGTGTTTACCTCCGCAAGCTTTCGCCGGCGGAGCGGCCCCCGTTTGATTTCCACCGGCTTCCGCCGCCTTCCATCGAAGAAGGGATGCCAACCTTGCGATTCCTCGAAGGAGGGTCCTTTCTGAACGGCCCATGCCGAGGGGCTCGGATGGGTCTTTTCTTGTCGTGCGCCTCTCGGAGCCGCTCTGTTCTCCCGCCTGCGCCTGCGCACAGCCGGCCCGTTTCTACCGCGCGGGTAGGCGTGCGCCTCTTGACCTGCAGCATGGACAGAGCCGACGACACACCTACGGTCTGTGATGCCAGGTGGGCGCAGCGCAGCGCCAGCGCCGCGTCGGGGAACGCGCATGACGCACGCGAGGAGCCAGTGTCCCCGTGGGTCGGGCGTTCAAGCGGATGACCAGCCATTGCAGACCCCCCGCCTCGCCACTGCCACTGTACGCAAGCAGGCTGGGCGCCTAACGCTGTCGGAAGTCTGTACCTCGCCGCTCTGTACAGCGGCAAGGCGGGAGGGAGAGGAGCAGGACGGTCAAATGAGCCAGATCGAACCGGTCGCCGGGCCTTTTCCACAATTTCCAGCTAACAAGATGGCGGCGCAATCTGATGGAGAGGAGGGCGCTCGCGCGTGAGTCCGCGTGGTACGTCTCGGCGCAGGGGGGGAAGCACGGGCCGCACACGGGCGCGAGCACAACTTCCAGAAACTCCTTGCGCGGCGATCCGGCGACTGCGCTGGTTAGCCTTCTCCCTCGC